AACAAATTTCGAAAAAAAATATTTCATAAACTGATTTTTTTTTACAGCCTAGTATTAATAAAAAAAAAAAAAGGTGAAAGTCAGTCTAGTTTATCAAATAGTTTTGTGAAATTGTGTACAAAACTTTACATTTCACGTACTTTACAGCGGGACTGCCGTAACTGACGAGGAATACAGTTCAGTGGAAGGTGTGTAGCCATGAGCCGGGGCGATTTAACCTTTCGGAGGTAACGGAAGTGTCCTATCGGTCGTCCGACTTCCAAATGATGAACTCGATAGAACAGTAGTTTATTTTGGACTTTTTTGGTATCTCCGTCATTAAAAATCAAAGAAACGATTTCTTCCGTCCACGTTGTACCTGCAACAAATATTCACAAATAATTAACTACACAACGGCAATCAGTAAGTCGATCTTTAGGCCTAATAACTGTTATAAAGATCAGTTTTCTTTCTATTGTTTCGCCATCGTTCGGCGTTAAACATGTAATATTAATTTGTATTTAAGATTTGTGGTTGGTTGGTTTGATTTTTTGTTCAATACAAACAATCAAAGCAAGCATATGGAATTCAAATACATTAATTAATAAGCCGAAACACTGTTAAAAAGACCAGTATCCAAAATTCCAATCAGTGTTTTGGATAAGTCCCCCCCCCCAAAAAAAAAGTACTGTTACGACAGCGGAAGTCACGTGATCTAGTAACACGTGATGAGTATCTAGAAGATTCACGAAGAGACGAGTGTACGCTTTTATAGTATATAAGCCGGCAAATAAAGTGGCGGAGGGAATAGAATTGCAGACAGTCAGAGACGGACAATCGAGTCAAGCGCCGTAGTGACCGTAAGTAAAGTGCGTGAATCGTTGTGAATTATAGCGTGTGTTGAAGTTAAAGCGACTGTGGAAATTCTGTGTATTGCAAAGTTGTATTGAGAAAGAATAAACTAGTTTTATTTAAGAAAGGACTTGTATCGCTGAAGTTTTACGGAAAGAATTGCTACGGAAAATTAACCAACGAACACAGAGACATAACAGTACGTTTCCGATGACAATGACAAGTCAGAATAAAACTAAGATTTGACGTTTTTAGTTTTTGTATGTCAGATAAAAAGGAGATAAATAATATTTGTAAATAAACTTATATTTCAGGCAAGTGTTTAAAAAAGTTGCATTTATTTAAAAAAAAAAGAGTTTAAAACCTAATTATTTGTTTTATCCGTAAATAAAGTTTGATTAAAATAAACTTTGGGCTTAATTCCACAATGGGTTTAATAAATACATCGTGGAGTTAGCCGCAAAGTTTAAGCTCGAACCCCATAATCAAAGAATGTTTGTTTTGTTTGTTTGTTTTTAATTACGCACAAAGCTACACAAGGGCTATCTGTGCTCTGCCCACCACGGGTGTCGAAACCCGGTTTCTAGCGTTGTAAGTCCGCAGACATACCGCTGTGCCACTGAGGGGCATCAAAGAATGAATTAAAACTTAGAATGAGATACATAGTTTCACGTAAATATAATTCTAAATAATAAGAAATAGTGTTTATTTATTAATTTATGTTTAGAATGACAATTAAAAACATATTGTTTCTTAATAACGATTATATATTTCTAAATGACATCTACTTTTTTTAATCAGTTTTTCTTTTCGAGAATAGCTTAAAAATATAACGGTTAAACAATTTACCACTCCCAGGAGGAGTCAGGTTTACTGTTTGTACAATGTTTACAAGATTACAAACCTGACTTCGGGTAGGTGATGATAAAGATGTCGTCAGGTCTTACTTCAAACTCTTCTAGGCCTTGCAAAATGTACGGGGGAACAAAATATCCCTGAAGCAAGACATCTTTATAGAACTGGGCTTTAGGAATACAACGAACGTACGCGGCTTTGACAGGGTCATTGTCGAGCAAGGGATATTTTTCTGCCGATATCACCTGATTTTCCTTCTCGGTCTTGGTCTTGCTTCGTGTGGCGTTAATAAGACTACTCAGCGGAGTGTTGTATAAGAATTTCACGGACAGCATGGCTTCCAGCTGAAGATATCTTAACTGTCGTTTTATAGAAAAAAAAAACAACAAGAAATCAACATTATTTTAAATAAGATGCATTAATCTATCATGATTTTTTTTTTCTAAAGATACTATTGAAGGACAGAGGAAAATAAATTATTCAGCTACAGAAAACAGAGCTTCAGTAACATTCATACAAAAATAAATCACTTGATGTTTAAGACATTAAACTCTTTCTATAACATACGCTTTCACTACTACTTGTTAACTGTATGAAAAATGTCATCCGACCTATTTTCTGTCTCGACTGGCAGCTTGAAAGGTGGTGAAAAGACTGTACATTTAATGCAAATTTGTCCAGATTTTTTAGTCCAGTTTTTTCACGATCCAACGAGTTCAAAACATATTTCTTACATAAACCCGCAAGTACTTGCGCACCTCAACCTGGAAACATAATTCTAACCATAAAAACAGTGCGTCAAATTTCAAGAGTTACTATCATCTGGCTTGCTTATAGTGAAGTGTCATTATTATCGGGAACAGCGGTTTCCATAACTACCAGCTCTTCGAACAATCGGATTTATTCTCATTTGATAAACGGTAAAATCAGGACAAGTCTCATCGAAAATGTTCCACATTGACTGTTTGCCCCCAATTCAAGCCCTAAATTTTAACTTTGGAAATTAACACCAAGGGGCAGGTTGGTAATATTTTCATGCTTTATTTGTTGAATTTCGCCCGTCATTCCTTATTTACTAAAAGTAAGGCAGCTGGTCAACAACACTCACCGTCAACTAATGAGAATTGACCGTCACTCTTATAATGCACTCACGGTCACAAAATACAAAGCGCGATTTTGTTTTGGCGGTAACGTGGCTCTAACCTCGGATCCACAGACCGGTACGTTAACCACTACGCCACACCCAGTTATATATTTTCATTGAATGACATCTATCACATTTAGTTACAACTGTGTATAACCACGTTAATGTTCAGTAGAAAAAGAAAAATCGCCCAGAACCGTCTCGACTACCACAGCGAAAGATCTTTTGAAAGAACACACACGAACACACACACACACACACACACACACACATACATACAAATAAAAATAAAAAGTTGGGTGGAGCTCAAACTGAAAACCATTTTAAACCTCATTTTCCACCATTTCTTCAGCTTTTTTTTTTCACGTTTATGTAACAAAACCTTTTGGAGTTAATGAGCTAAAGCATTCAAAGACAAATGACGTTCTTGTGCATCACTAGTTTTGTAGTTGAACAAAGGTATAGCTGAAGGATGTTTCAAACTGCAACGATTATTACACCAAGGATAATGCTAACAGATTGTCATGGGTATATGGTTTCGTTTTAAACAATGTTTTGTTGTTTTTTTTTCTCCAACGATCGTAGTATTGTTGGGCTACACTTGTATTTTATCTTTAACTGCCTAGAATGGCCGAGCACGACATATTTACTGATCAGTAGTTTGTGTAATATTATAGATAACTCTGATAATTACATCTTGCCTTACGGTTTTAACTAAGAATAGTGTATGTTAACATTTAAACCAATTCATGCTGCCAACTAGGCCTTTCGCTCAATCCGGGAGTTTATTTTCTTCAGCTGCAACGCAAAGCTTTAGTTAAAACAATACGTATCACTAATGTACTGGAACTATACACTTTTCTTAATGGAAAGCTATACAGGGCTAAAGAAGAAAGGCGAGATTAAAATTATTTCAGTTAATACTGTGATGTTACATAAATTACCAACAATAATCAAAACGTATCAATAGTGTATTTGTGAGATTATCAACAAACTAACGAACCAAGTATTTTTTCCAACACTAACAATGTACCAATAGTGTATTCGTTATATCACTGTAACACACAAACTACGGCCCCAGTATTATTTCCAAAAATAACTGAACAACGCACCAATACTGTATCATAAGCTAACAAAGTATCTTTTCCAACACTGTATTAGTAATGTACTTGAAATATTACAGAAGTAATACACAGACTACAAATACAAGTATCTTTTCCCAGAATAACCAAATGTATCAACAGTGTATTTTAAACGTAACAGTAGTACCACACAGACTACAGATACAAGTATCTTTTCCAATAATACCAACGTATCAACAGTGTATTTTAAATGTAACAGTATTATCACACAGACTACAGATACAAGTATCTTTTCCAATAATACCAACGTATCAACAGTGTATTTTAAATGTAACAGTATTATCACACAGACTACAGATACAAGTATTATTTCCCAGAATAACCAAATGTATCAACAGTGTATTTTAAATGTAACAGTAGTATCACACTGATTACAGATACAAGTATCTTTTCCAATAATACCAACGCATCAATAGTGTATTTTAAATGTAACAGTAGTATCACACAGACTACAGATATAAGTATCTTTTCCAATAATACCAACGTATCAATAGTGTATTTTAAATGTAACAGTAGTATCACACAGACTACAGATACAAGTATCTTTTCCAATAATACCAACGTATCAATAATGTATTTTAAATTTAACAGTATTATCACACAGACTACAGATACAAGTATCTTTTCCAATAATACCAACGTATCAATAATGTATTTTAAATTTAACAGTATTATCACACAGACTACAGATACAAGTATCTTTTCCAATCATACCAACGTATCAATAATGTATTTCAAACGTCAGAAACTATTGCAAGTAAGTAAAAGCGAAAAGTTAATATTAGCAGAACAACGATCATCATCTCCTTCATCTCCTAACACCACACCTGTTTCAATACAACGTTCTGGACGATCATCTGTCTCCTTCATCTCCTAACACCACACCTGTTTCAATACAACGTTCTGGACGATCATTTGTTCCTTTATCTCCTAGCACCACAACTGTTTCAATACAACATTCTGGACGATCATCTGTTCCTTCATCTCCTAACAACACTTGTTTCAATGCAATGTTCTGGACGATCACCTGTTCCTTCACCTCCTAACACCACAACTGTTTCAATACAACGTTCTGGACGATCATCTGTTCTTTCATCTCTTAACACCACAACTGTTTCAATACAACGTTCCAGACGATCATCTGTTGCTTCATCTCCTAGCACCACACGTGTTTCAATACAACATTCTGGACGATCATCTGTTCCTTCATCTAACAACACTTGTTTCAATGCAATGTTCTGGACGATCATCTGTTCCTTCTTCTCCTAACACCACAACTGTTTCAATAGAACGTTCTGGACGATCATCTGTTCCTTCGTTTCCTAACACCATCTCTTAATCCTATCTACTGGTGTTATGTAAAACTGGTCACTAGTGTGTATCAGTTCTACCTAGTGTATGATAATCCTGTCTACTGGTATTATATAGAACTGGTCACAAGTGTGTATCAGTTCTACCTAGTGTATAATAATCCTGTCTACTGTATCAGTTCTACCCTGTGTATAATAATACTGTCTACTGGTGTTACGTAGAACTGGTAGTGTGTATCGGCTCTACCCAGTGTATAATAATCCTGTCTACTGATGTTATGTGGAACTGGTAGTGTGTATCAGCTCTACACAGTGTATAATAATCCTGTCTACTGTATCAGTTCTACCCTGTGTATAATAATCCTGTCTACTGATGTTATGTGAAACTGGTCACTAGTGTGCATCAGTTCTACTCGGTGTATAATAATCCTGTCTACTGTATCAGTTCTACCCTGTGTATAATAATCCTGTCTACCGGTGTTATGTAGAACTGGTCACTAGTGTGCATCAGTTCCACCCAGTGTATAATAATTCTGTCTACCGGTGTTATGTAGAACTAGTCACTAGTGTGCATCAGTTCCACCCAGTGTATAATAATTCTGTCTACCGGTGTTATGTAGAACTAGTCACTAGTGTGCATCAGTTCCACCCAGTGTATAATAATTCTGTCTACCGGTGTTATGTAGAACTAGTCACTAGTGTACATCAGTTCCACCCAGTGTATAATAATCCTGTCTATTGGTAGATATTATATGACATTTACGGATGGTTCAGTAAACTGTTGAGCTGAACAAAGAACTTAGCGACAAATCAAAATGTACACAGACATAGAGGCATGAAAAAGTCAGACAAACAGATACGCAAGCAGAAATAGATAGACAGACAAAGGTAGAAAACAAAGATATAGACAGACACAAATACAGACATGAATAAACACAGGCAAACACAGAACCAGACAGGCATAGTTGGAGAGACAGACAGACAGGCATGGATGGAGAGACGGGCAAACAAAGAAACACACTCAGGTAGATAGTTACGAACAAAAATATCAACAGAGATGAACAAAGAAAGACAGACAGACAAAAATGGATAGGCAAACAAAGAAACAGACAGACAAGCACAGGTGGAGTCACGGGCAAAAAAAAAAAAACATTGGTAGATAGATAGGAACACAAAATATAGTTAGACAAAGATAGATAGGCAAAGGAAGAAAGAGACAGACAATAACAGAACATACACTACAGCAGCTTTAATCGTGATGTTTAGGTGACATTTACAATGTATACCGACGTGAGTGAATTTCCCACCAAACATTTATCTATCTACATTTCTACCGTCCACTGGTAGGTTACTGTTCAGTTTATGGACTTACAACGCTAAAATACAGGGTTCGATTCTCCCTGGTGTACACAGTGCAAATAAACCATTATGTAGCTTTGAACTAAGAAGATAACACTAAAAACCTTTCTACCTACGCCGGATAAACCTTTAAACAAAAATAAGTAACAAAATCGTTCGACTTAGAGTAGGAAATATTAGCAGCTTTATCGCTTTTGAGAATGAAAATCGAAACTTTTCTTGTTGTAAAACAATTGTTTAAGAATGAGTTAAGAAAAGAGAATGCCAGTTACAAATGTATTACATTTTTAAAGAACAAGATAGCGATAAATACACGGTATAATACGATCTGAAGTAAAGCCAACCTACTGTAAGATGTTATGTCATATAAATAAATTATCATACATAAGAAAGAGATTAAAATACATCTTAATTAGAACTTAGGTTAATTACCCCAATATAGATCATACGTTTATGTACCAGTCTAACTCAGGTCTCCAGCAAGGCCTAAGTTAATTACATCCATGCAGACCACACGTACATGTATTGGTCTAGCTCAGGTCTCCAACAGGACCTAAGTTAATTACCTCCATGCAGACCACACGTACATGTATTGGTCTAGCTCAGGTCTCCAGCAGGACCTAAGTTAATTACCTCCATGCAGACCACACGTACATGTATTGGTCTAGCTCAGGTCTCCAGCAGGACCAAGTTAATTACCTCCATGCAGACCACACGTACATGTGTTGGTCTAACACAGATCTCCAGCAGGACCTAGATTGATTACCTCCATGCAGACCACACGTACATGTATTGGTTTAACTCAGATCCCCAGCAGGACCTAAGTTATTTACCTCCATATACACCACACGTATATGTATCGGTCTATTTCAGGTCTCCAGCAGGACCCAAGTTAATTACCTCCATGCAGACCACACGTACATGTATTGGTCTAACTCAGATCCCCAGCAGGACCTAAGTTATTTACCTCCATATAGACCTCACGTATATGTATCGGTCTAACTCGGGTCTCCAGCAGGCCCTAGGTTAGCCATTTTTATACAGACACTAGCGTATAATGCAGTGTACAGGTTTCAAAGAAGACAGTCACTGACCACTGTACAGTCTCTACTAAGTCTCAAACAGAAGCTGCTTGAATCATTAGGCCTAATATGTTTGCTATATTTTTCAGTAATTTTTACAGTTAACCAAAAATATTAAGAAACTGTAATGTAAAAAAAAAAAACATATAGTGATATGGACTTCTCTCTTCAGATCACACAACTTTTGATGGGCTTTGTTGTTATTAAGGTTACACAACGGGCTATCTAGCGGATATCGAAACTCGATTTTAAGAGTTATAATCCTTCATACTTACTACTGAGCCACCGTCATCCACTCTCAAGATCATAAACTATAATAAAGTCTAACACAAGCACCTGTTCGTGACTATTTCCGATAGCATACGTATCCAGTCAATACAGAACATGGAGGTTTCTCTCCTTGCGTGACTCAATAAGGACGGGAACGGTGAAGTCACTGAGAGACTTAAAACAGCCACCTCATCATCATCACGGTGATCCCAGCATGCACTTCTACACCTGTACGGTTTTCCTTACAAGTGTTCAACTAAAAGTCGGCTTTACTTCACTCGAAATGACACGTGCAGAAAAGACATCCTAAAACGAATGTACAAAATCATGGATTACCACTACGCCCCCTGGTTGCTGCTATACAAGTTGTAGTACAGGGTTTAACGTTTTAGAATTGTGTCTCACGTTAGAAAAAGTATCCGACCCCTCCAAATAAAAAAACAAGAAGGAATCCTCAATAGCTGCGGCTGTAATTAGATCTCAAATTGGTCAAGAGATGGAGCTATGAGCTCAAACTTTGTACTTGAAAAAACAAATAAACTTGGACATTTTATGAGCCGCTATACCGCTATATGCACAAAACTAAGATAATAGTCGCCATTTAGTATTACTACTGCACTTGTTCAGAATACATTAAGTCAATAAATATTCAATGCAAATAAGTTCATAATCGGTATACTAGCATGAAATATACAATGTTGCTATGGCAACAAAAATATTGAATATAAACGCTTATGATTGGCTCTCTTTATTACTAGTTGCCGTTTCTCACTTTTTAAAACGAAACAGTGCAAAAAAAAAATAATTCCAGCTTTTTTAATACGTAAATAGTACGCCCGCGCAAGGAGTAGCAAGTTATAGACGAATTTATTGCTGAAATATTAATATAAATAAATACGGCATCACCAGAACGCCAAACTCCCCCGCCCAATGCTCTACTGTAGAAGAAACCAACTTACAAGCATTTGATCAAAATTAAAACACTGGAAACAATTTGGGTTAATGATTTTGTTTGTCGAATATTTTACCCAGTGACACCTGGTGAGGACTAAATATAATAAAGACGACTGAAACGTGACCTACCACGTTCTGGACCAGTTACGCTTCAAATATCCCCATGGCTAAGGTTAAGGCTTTAGGATTAACAGCAACGACCTCTCACAAACCGGGAAATTTCTGGCTGTAGGAAAGATACGGGGCTCGAGTCCACGAACTAATTAATTTTGGGGAGAGGCGATTGATTATTTTGGACTGTACGGGCGCCTTCCCCCCTAAAAAAAATAGAGACGTGCTTGCCCATAAAAATTTAATGGATTTGTCTGTTGTATCCTGTTCAAAACTAAGTAAACAGTACAAGAACACAATTAAATTTAGTATTTTAAATTTTTTCTCCCTCTGGTTCGTGCCAGTGACCACAAAGACCTACGCAATTCATCTACATAGATTTGAAGCGCAGCACAAAGGTCGCCAGAACTGTGTTTTTCTCGATGAAAACGTATTATCATTATATTGGTTACATAACAAACAGTTTTCAATAAAGCTGTAAGAACTGATTAAAGAGAGCATCTGTTAGTTACTCACCACAATTCGTCTGCTCAAAATAGACAAACAGCCCATTGGAAGGCTTACATAATAACGCACGTGAACATGCTAAGAGTTTGAACTGGCAGTTTTCCAATTGTATATGATAACGACACTAATAGAAACATTTTAGGGTGAATTATTGTGTAATCTGAAGTTCAGAATCTAATGTTGAAAGTAATATATTATTTAATTTATTAAGGTTAAGTGTACAGTAATTGATATTTGTATATTTTTTAACAGACCATGTTGTATTCTTTATTTCAGATATATTATTTACTTAAACTAAGATGTTGTTTGACAGCAATGCCGCGCGATATTGAACCTCGCATTTAAGCCGACCCACTGGGTGACACTGAACTAAGAACTTAAAGTAAACTAAAGTATGAGAGTCTCGAGCGTATGGTTAATCTTCATGTTTCATCTCGTTCCTCCTTTCAAAAATTTCTCGGCTTTTCTTTGTATAAACTAATAAAATAATAAACAGACAAATATCGAATAATATATATACGAGCTATGTGCCCATGCTAAACTTCTGTGGAAGGAGCATTAATGCGGACCATATTACTTATGGTCACCTACTTCAAGGAAGGGGCAATCGCTGGGCAAGGGCTTCGGATGCATTTCACAGAGTCCTAAACCATTCATTATTTTGAATAGTAGGCGCTTCTTGGGGCCCAAGCCCCG